ATTAAACATTCCCTTTGCCACGTTTCAAGCGTCACACTTCACATCTTCATTCCTAACCTGCCAGAAAGAAAACCAGATGCACTTCATGGGCAGCTGAAATTCCCCTCTCCCATCTTGGAGCCCCTCCAAACCATCACTATGCCCACCAGCACTGCTTGAGACATGGGAACAATTTCAAACTCCTTTGGGCAGCAGAAAGATCAACATCTGCAAGTTCACAAAGACACACCTGAGGGCACACCTCCCAAAGGGGCCCAGCAGCAGGATGTTTTGCCTGTAGTCCTCACAGCAGCACGCCTCAACACTGTTCGGTGACACTAGTTAAGACCTTCTTTGCAGCAAGCTGTGACAGCAGAGAACCCAAGGAACAACAACAGGAAAACAATGACCCAAGATTCATCTCCGAAGCACACAGCTAACTGCAAGGCACTTCTCCCTACCAAAACCAGAAGCTGCTTCACAAAATCCACTCCCTCCCTTCAAGCATGGGCCACACTCACAACATTCACACACAGACTTTGCCCTGCTCTGGCTCCCGTATAGCCCAGGGCTGCTGCTCTGTGACAGCTGCCCTTTCGTCATCCCGCTCTATCCCACCCTCACTGCCCAGTTCTCCCAGGGGGGCCCCTGGTGGCACAAAACACACTCGCATTTATGCAGCATGCTCAGAAGGATGCCATGTCCATCTCAACAGCGAACATCAACATCCAAAGCAAGTGCACCTCGCACACGTGCTCAGCACCCTGTTAGCCAAACCGCCCGCGTTCACAACCTCCCGCGGCTTAATTCCCATCAACCTCACTCAGGCAATTTTCTTGTCTTATCCCAAGTCTGTCGCTCAGGTCCTCCTGGAGGGTCACAACAAGCAGCTGAACACACAGAGCACCATAAGGCTCCCTTTCACAAAATTACAGGCAGCGCTTTCAGGGTCGCGATGACACACAACACGTTCTCTTTTCCTCTCTAGGCCGCAATTCCTACAGCGCAGCTACAAAACGCAAAGCTGAACGGCTCTGGCCTACAGTCCAACGAGGCAGCACGTCCTTCTGTCAGCAGCTTTCTTGCACTACCTCCAAAAAGGGATAATAAGCTACTCGCTCCCTGCAGGAGGTAAACAGGCCAAGGTACCTCTTACACTAAGTACCAGACGCATACCAACTTGCTCGTGACGCTACCTCATCTGACATGACGCTACTGCACCTCGCAAGCATTTGTACTCACCAGTGTCCGAGGCGGCAGCTATGAGGACACTGCCACCACTGTCAGTGAAAGCAGTGATAGTCTCCACAGTGGTCTTTCTGCCCAAATCTGAACGCGCAGACCAGAAATCCACCCCTCTCCCATCTGCTGCAGCCTGCATCTCAGAAATAAGCCCAAGCACCCACAACAACCACACACCTAATCCCTTTGCTCACGGCCACGAGAACCAGCCTTACAGCAAAGGCCTGCAGGCAAGCGCGCGTCATCTTCGCTCTACCCACTGCATCTTGCAGAGCAGCCACCAAGTATAACATGGGCAAAGAGTTATCTCTTAGCTCCCTAGCTTAATCATATCGTTTTTATGGACTTTTTTTTGGTGAGAAATCAAAATCCTAATTAAAATGTACATAGAAGCTCCTCTTCTTCTGTCTAGAAGGAATTAATTTCACCAGACTTGAACCATCCAAAAATTAGGCACCTAGCCTAAGCTAGTTATCAATCTACAGTCAATGGAGAGAAAGAGGTATCCTTAGAGAATGACTTATTTCAAGCGATGATTGGCGCATTATTTATGACACACATGGAAGCCAGTAAAACTGTGTCTGAGTAATATACATGACAAATGTTCTGTAAATCCGTAAGTTGTATCTCTGAGCAACACTAAACCTCCCATATAGTACAGTACTTGTACCAAGACCAGAGAGGGAAAATCTAGGGTGGAATTCAGCTCATCTGACTATAGAGGCAAGATTCAGTTAGACTTGAATATCTCAATATTGGTGCACAAATGAAGCTTCTACAGATGAGTTAGGTATATAATTCTCATTACAGTCAACAGAAATGTAATTCATGTAAGCAGTGCAGTTGAGGGGACAATTCAGTAAGCGTTCACTCCTATCAACTTCGGAGTGACCTGATATGCTTCTGAGGTTCCACGTGTTATACTGGCGCTCTCTCTGTTATGTGTAAGAAGAGCCTAGGTAGTCATCTCACGTAGCTTATTACACGGGTGTATAGGTGCATATACCACAGACAGGCAAAATTGGTTTTGCTACCAAAGCTAGGCACAAAGGACTGCAAAAAGCAAAGCAGAGCTTAGATCTTAACTAGGAGCACAGGCCATCTTTGAATAATATTTTATTAGCATCCCACAAATTACTTTTAACATAAAAAAGCTAAAATCAAACCCTATGAAGTCTGAGACTGGAATATGGGTGAGGTAACTCTTTACTTTGTCTAACTAAATATCCCTGCTCCTTCTGAGGGATGAGATATGCCTTATTCCTCTCTGCTCCAATACGTGCACTTTCTTGAGGAGATTTGCATTTCCTGCCTCAACAGGACAGGTAAGAAGGTACAAGCATGTGTTCTTGATTACACGTGGTTTCCCCAAAAGTCCAGGCTACCTCTGAGAGCAATGCATGGAGTCGGGAGAACTTTGCTCATCAGTTCTATTGTGAGGCTTGCAGTTAGAGAAAAGAAGAAACCCTGAAATCTGCAAGAGCAGCGGAAGTCTAAAATTCTTGGCAACGTCTTCATAACGAAGTGCTGTATCTGACCATGGCTAGGAAGGTACCTCTACTATGCATATCTCTCTGGGCTGGTACTCTTGGCCAGTGGAGTAGCCATATCACTCCATGCTGGTCAAAACATTCCTATCCGTACAGTACCAGGGCAGTAACTGACTCCAGTTCAGCACAATGGTTTCAAGAAAAGACCATTTCCAATATTAAAAGTAAGGTTACAGATACCAGCAACTCTTGCTGCGATTCTAGTCAAAGAGACAAGAATATGTTTTATTAGCTTAACAGTGTACTCGTTGCATTAAGAATTTCTCATCTTCTAAAATGGTAGAGGAGTTTTCGTTCAAAGCTTCTGCAAAAGCTTAACTTCTGATTAAATAAAGTGCAAGAAATACAGACACCTTGCATAGGAAAAAGATTACTACTTACAGTTGCAGGAATTAGTTTTTATAGGAAGCATTGCTAAGGTCTTACCTTTTAAAAAGCTATAGATACAGTAAACCCTTCTTTAAAAAGACACTTTAAAAGTGTCCAGTATTCAGTCATTCATCTTTTCCTAAGACAGGTGTCAAATATATATATGATGAATTTCTTTGAGATCTCGCTCTCTCTCCAAGTTGCTTAGAAACTGGAAACTGAAAGAGTTCCTTAGATTGAGCACATAAGGCCTCTATGGTACAGGCAAAAAATCTGTGCGTTTATCATCCTTCTCAAAGGATGCAGTTAGTTAATACACTTGTGTGCAAGACAGCACAAGAGAGACTATTCCTTCAATCATAAAGTTCTACAAATGAAAGAGGCATTGGAAAGCTAGACCAAGCACAGCAAGATCTTACGTAGCTTAACATCGTAATATTGAACATCACCCAGAGTCTCTGTGAGCCTCTCTCAAGTATGAATAGTCAGTGCCTGGGACAACAGCCTTGTGACTTACAGGCAACTGGTGAAAATTTAGATATTTCAGGGTTAAGATGAGAGGAAAGTGTTTACAGAATTCCATTATCCTTCTACATATCATATAACAACAACAACAAACATCCTTGATGGGTCATAGGAGAGGTTCATCCAGTACAGCATGCTCCTTCTGACAGCAGACAAAGACACAAGAACAGGGTCAGCGTACAGTTACATTCCTCAACTATTCATCCTGTCCCTCAGCCATTTGCAGCTGAGGAAGTCACTGAGTTGAAGTAACTGTCCTCTCACCAAGGTAGGCCTGAGCAAGGAGAAATTATAACGCAAGAATAAAAATACGGGCTGCATGTGGACCTGTAAAAACAACAAATTTTGAAGAATTGCATTATTGTCAGCAGAACAGTTGCAGAGATGGTGGGCACAGGATGGCAGGAAGTTTAGCGCATCTTGATAAAGCGCCAGTACTGTTATTTCTAACCTTCCCCGAGTCTTGAAACAATCGCTCTGTAAATGGATATTGAATCCCTGAAGGAGGGGGTACAAAGGCAGCTAGATAATTTTCTTACACATCTCACTTTTTGGTGCTGCGGGCTACAGAAATTGCTACATCCTGCCTCAGTGGGCTATCTACATTCATGAGTATGCTTGATGTTTTAAGCAACAGGTTAAGAGTCCAAATCACGATAACGGGTCCTGATTTGTGAGGTGCTGTACAAAGCCTGAGCTGTAACAACTGTCACCAATGACTGCTGTAATTTAACCCTCCACAAGCAAATGAAAATTCTCATTTGTCCCAGACTCCTCTGTTTCAAAGTTGAAAGTCTGTGCACCACCTTCCTCCTGTGTCTCTACTTTTAATAGTATTTTTCAGTTCAGTGCTGCTGTACTGGGTTTCACAAGAGCATTTAGGAGAACCTTTCTAGGAAAACATTTTCCGACTAGTCTGCTAGAGTCTCCTCTGAAGCTTAGCAATCTGGAAGTCAGTGCCCAGCATAATCCAGGCTTTCTCTGTGGTTGTTGAACAGAGAAATGAACACCCAGAGTGTGAATCCATCTGAAAGAAGGTTCTTTCAAGAAAGAAGCAGGATGATTCAAGCTCTATAGAGGGGCTGACCACAGTTCATTGACCATTGATGGAGCAGGAGGTTGGATTCATCTTGCCTAACCTCACTTATACACAAGTTCCATGTTCAATCCACGCAGTCATCTGACCTCCCCCTATAGTTGAAGGAGAGAAGTTAAGAAGAAATTATCCCCTATACACTGTCATACCAATTTCTTTGCAACTGGGAGTTTTATAGTGGCAATAAAAAAAAAAAAATGCTTTCCTGGTCACAAACCTCCTTCATTAATATGCTGCATTTATTGCAGTCTCCGAACTGCTCTTTTCACAGCAACCTTCACCTCCCTGTTCCTCAGGCTGTAGATCAAGGGGTTCAGCATGGGAGTCATGACTGTGTAAAACAGTGTGGCCACTTTGTCCTTGGCCAATGCATAGGTGGAGCTGGGGCGCAGGTACATGAACAAAATCGCCCCATAAAACACAGTGACAACCAATAGGTGGGGGGCACAGGTGGAGAAGGCTTTTCTCCTGCCCTCTGGAGAGCAGATCCTCAGGATGGCAGGAAGGATATAAATATAGGAGACAAAGATGATTGTCATTGTGCTGAGACAATTTATGCTGACAAGAGCAAAGACAACAACCTTGTAGGTGTGGGTGTCAGAGCAGGAAAGAGCTATGAGTGGGGGAATATCGCAGAAGTAGTGATTGATCATATTGGACTGACAGAAGGAAAAAGTAAAGATGAAAGTGGCATGCGTCACTGCATGCAACATGCTGACTGCATAGGAACCAACTACGAGCCATCCACATGTCTGCCTGCACATGATGACAGGGTACAGGAGGGGCTTACAGATGGCCACATACCTGTCATATGCCATGACAGCCAGCAAAAGGCACTCGGCAATCCCAAAGACAACAAAGCAGCACAGCTGGGCTGCGCACCCTGAGAAACCAATGGTTTTCTCCTCTTCCAAGATGTGGATCAGCATTTTGGGGATGATTACAGAGGAATAGCAAATGTCAACAAAAGCCAGGTGGCTGAGGAAATAATACATGGGAATGTGAAGGTGAAGATCCATCCTGATTAATACAATCATGCCAAAGTTTCCCAAGAGCGTGGCAGCGTACATCGCCAAGAAAACTAAGAAAAGAGGGACCTGCAGATCCGGGCAGTCTGTCAGCCCTGAGAGAATGAACTCTGTCACTTCAGTGTAGTTTGCAGGGATCATTTTCTGTAACACATTTGACCTGCAGGGGACAGATTAAAAAAAAAAAAAAAAAAAAAAAACAGAGAACAGCAGGGTTAGAAGCGGGGTGGAAGAAACTGAGCTTTATAATCCTGCAGCTTCAGTCATCTGACTTTGGCATTTCAGTAGCCAGTTTCCTCTATATCGCTGAAGGGAAACAAAACGTTTCCTACGGGTAGATCATAAAACATCAGACTCTGAATCATTCTTGGAAGGCCTCTGTCTGATGACTTTAGAAGGAGCCTAAAACCCAAACCTAGTTGTCAAACCAAACAGCGAGAATACCCATCTGGGTTTAATTCAGCATTTCATCTCTTGCATAGCTTTCTGTTTGTGCATTCCTGGCAACATTTAGCACAGGTAAAAAAAATCAATACACTGGGCATTTTTCAGTGATAACTCCCCCCCAGTTAAAATACTTAATGTGTGCTGGTTTTTCCTTGGTAATGTCAGGCACATTTTTAAAAGAATTAGGGAGGCGGGAATCAATATTTTTGAAAAATAAAGCAACACGAAGCATTTTGACTTGCAGAAATACTTTTCCTGTTGATTTTCATTTTCCCCATGCAAATCAAAGCAAAAAAAAAAGCATACATATTTTCTTTTTAAGCTGACATGAATACACAGTTTTCACTATATACTGCTTTGACTACTCTATAGAAAAAGAAGTCATGGTAGCACAGTAATGACTGGGAAACTAACTTGGATGTATTGCCAAAGCCATAAAAGAATAAATGTGAGGAGTGGAGCAGGGCAGACAGGGAAAATAATGCAGCCTATGCTGTACAGTCTGTGCACAGCAAACTAGCTTAACGTGGCTCCTGTTGCCTTGGCTGCCAGGATCATCCCTTGCCATTACTGTTGATCAGCCATGGCAGCTGTGAGGAGATTGAACATCTACACATCTCCCTGTTCTATGTCCTCTGTAATTTCAAGCAGAAGAGTCCTTTCCCTGGGTTAGATTCCTTCTGTCATTCCCAGCCCCATTGCTATAAATGAGATATCTTAAACCTCCAGCCCTTTCTTTCAACTATCTTAATGCCTTCAAGTTCATAAGGAGAAAAAAAAAAAAGACAAGGCATGCTTATCTTAGCTACATGATGCCTCTTCATGTCCCATCAGTTCAGACCAAGAAGGCTGAGGACTGACCAGAATACAAAATACCTTCTCACCTTGGAAGTGACTTCTTCCTTAAAACTCTGGCATTCAGGGTCTGCAGCCAGCATAGACAGGTCAATGTAGCACTTTCAGGACCCGCGATAGGCTTGGCTGCTCCTCCAGAGCATATGACCATGGCTAAAATTCCCCTTCAAACAAACTTTGGGCATGTTTTTCAGTACTTCAGTTCCTTTAATGAAGCACCGAGGACAATTTGTTCCCGCAGCTTCCAGAGCGCAGACAAGACCTCTTTGTAGTTTTTAGTATTCAGACCGTGCTTATATTAATTTGTGACCTTGGAGGTATTCAACTCCATGGAGAACAGAAGCTTGAAAATAAGCAAAGTCCGCCTGGGATAGAAATTTCTTAATCTATAGACTCATTAATGAGGCCCAGGAACAATTTGTTATGAATGTCTGGATTTAAGCAGACATCCTCCCCCATCTCCAATACTGAAGAGAGAGAATGGACAAAACATGGGCATTTACGTCTACACTTATAAATGATTCACCAAAAGCAAAACCAACTTTTTTCCACAGTTATCTACAGTTACTAAGTTTCTGAAGTATCTTTTAGCGTCACAAGCAGGCTAGCTTTCAGCAGTGCAACGATATGAAAACCTGCCAGCTGACCTTCAGCACATCGCTGCATCTCACCGTGCTTCAGTTTTCAACATCTGAAAATAAGGACTGTAACACGAACCTCTGTTACAATTGCTTATGGAAGCTCTGTCTATATCTGCTTATAAATATACAGTGGCTAAAAGAACATTTTAGAAGCAATACTGTGAAGCATTCAAATGACCATTTGAAGTCCTGCTATACCACTATTTTTCCCCATTTCCCACTATGGGAAACATAAATTATAAATAAGCCTTCTGAGGACAGAGAGAAATTACTTTTTCTATGAAGACACCCCTGTTTTCCCTCTAACCAAAGCATCTAGAGTTATAGCTCAGAGCTAACAGGCTGTCATTTAGAAACTTGGATATCTAAAATTGGACAAATGAATCAGAAAACATTGCTCTGAACCAAGTTTATCTTATCATAAAAGATGATTATATGTCATGCACACTCTTCCTGAATCCAAGACTTTGCCACTTGCCTGTGAATAGCAGCCATATATATTCTTTTGTGTTTTCCTTCAGTGCAACACTTCAGTGCAACCTTTCCTTCCTAGAAACACCCACCTAATAAATCCATGAAAAATATGTAAAGATGCAAGAGCGTATCCTCAGCTTCTGCAAATCAGCATGAACTTCATTGCTTTGGTTGACAGTACCTATAGCTTCACCAACATACATTAGATGTACGTTATTTTCCACCCTATCAAGGTCCTCTAGAAACACAGACATCAAACCCCCATCTTCTCAAGCATTCCTGTGAAAAGTAACAGTGAGGCTGTTGTGAAAAGTGATGGTCCAAGGATACAAGCAAAATTTGGAGGCTGTTTGCCCGGTAACACCTCCAGCAACTTTTTTCAGTCCAATCTGCTTATTTTGGGCTCTTATTGTTCAAATATGAACTAATGCTCATTCTTCTTTTGTGTAATGTATCTGTACAGAGATATCTGCTGGAGAAAACAGCCAGTTTCTGATCATTAACAACCAAACCTCAGTGACATTCAAAGCAGTGATCCCATTAATAGATAGCAATCTGTGTTATCTACACCTAGATGTTTTCAGCTCAGCCACTCTTCTAGACTCCTTTTGCACTCAGCTGAGATCAAGAGTAAATTCTGAAATGTATTTATGCAACCTATTTTAAATATTTATATTAGTCTGAGAAGAATCACGCCTTAAACTGCCCATTCCTTTCCATTGGTGTTTAGGAGAGCTTAGACAGCTAGCTCAGACACGGTGCTCTATTGCACACATCTAAGAGGGGTCGGGTGAATCCTATGTTCATACCTTTTCTGGCAGATGGCTTCCAGGAGAAATCAAACTCACAGAACACAGCTGTTGTTTTATCTTTTCTTCTGATCATTATGAACGCTCAGATTACTTGGCTTAAATTTCCCCATCCTCCTCTCCGTACTTCTCTTTGCTAAATGACTGAAGTAAGGAGCAAAGACGCAGGACACCTGGGTTCTCCCAAAGACCTTTGCTGTTTTGTTGCAGAAAGGTTAATTCACTTCAATATGCCTCACATGCGCAGGGTAAGAGTAACATCTCCTGCTTCTCGTGTATTCAGTAAAATGGATACACCTGAATTGTGGCAAATCATTAATGATTATTATTACCGATGTCTGAGATTGTATGTCAGCCTCATCTCTAACACCAACTTTTTGCCTGCTGCCAAAAATACAGACTATTACGGCATTCTGCAAAGAAACTTGGTCCTGTCACTGCTTGTTAAGGAAGCTCTGTTCATGTCAACAAAATACAGTTACCCAGGCAATGCAGGCAACTCTCCTTCTAATTTCTGGAACCTAGTTGTACTTAGGCAAGAATTTGACTGGTCAAACCTCTAGGGGTATATGCAGAAGCAAAATTATACACATAGACATGTATTTCCAATGAAGAAGGAACCATAGAGCAAAGAAGGCATCTCTGGAGGATGATACAGATTCAAATAGGTGCTCAAAAAGTGTCTGTTCTCAGCACTGATTATGAGAAAAGCCTACGATGATTAGATATTTTAATAAAGTGATTTAAGCAACCTAATAAAGTACGAGAGCCTTCCCTGTCAAGTCCTTAAATTGTGTTTCTTCTTGTTCCTTGTTTCCTCTTTTTTTAAGTTCCCTAGTAGTATCTACAGAGGATTCACAAGGGCTTCATAATTTTGACTAATTAATATAAGACTTTTTTTCAGGTTTAACTATATCTTACGTATCATGTGCTCACATCAACATGTGTCTCAGAAGAAAAACACATCCCAAAGGAATCCAGAGTTTTATATATATACATACATGTGCATATATGTATGATCAACAGGAAAACAGCAGTCTCATGAAAGAGAGAGCAAGAAAAACCATTGAAAAGGTAAGTTAGACCATTTGCAGTTATATGTTTTAAATTTTAATATTCACATGATTTGGAAGGAGACATGGCTTGGTGTTGTATATAAGCACGGATGTTAAGACATTCAAAGGCTACTTCTTTTCTTAGCACTGAAGATGTCAACTGCCTATTGTAAGATCTCCTTTTACCTATGCGTGTGTCCCACCTTCTGTCCTCCAACTGCCTGTCTCTAATTCTCATAGCAGATGGATTGCATTCCCTTCTTAAGCTGTTTATTAGCAACTGCTTAAACCCTAAATTCTTTCTTTTTTTCCTCTTATTTGTATCAAGAAGCCCTCTTCATGGATTTAAGAACCCAATGCAATGAATAGAATTCTTGACTGGGGTTCATCTTAGCTTCAGAAAAGAGGTTCAAGTATTATTTTAGATGCCCTAGGACATCCACACAGGCCTGACAGGTGGGACCTGTAGAGATCATGTCCTGACAGAGTGGCTGCATGAGGCAAGAAGGGGGCTCTAGGTAGGGTTGAACTGGCACTCGAGACCTGTATTTATGCACCTACGTTCCTTCTCAGTGTCTATAACACAACTCTCTGTACGTGACCTAAGCACCTTTTCTAGTCTATGGAGATTTAGCGATAACAGTTAGTAGAGTCTTGAGAATTATTCTGCCAACAGCAAATAGATGTCCACTTTATTTAGTGGAATAAGCACTTTAAGCTCCACTTCTGATGGGGGTGAATCCCCATTAGAAAGCATTTCTGAAATTCTAGAGGTAATTTTGTCATTTCACTGTAATCATTGAAGACCTTATCATAAGCTTCATCTGGGTCACTTTATCCAAATAACTTTAGAATTAATAGGAATTGTTAAAAATATGGAGACCATGAAGTTTTCCAAATGAGTTTAGTCTTAAGCAGACAAACAATTTAATAAAGTTCTTAGAGCGCTGCCAGGCTTCAGAATTTTCTCTTTAACTTTTTTTTCCCCCTCTTAGCTAGCATGTGAAATATATCCCCATCAGGTTCAGCTCAGCAATTTCTGAAGATGAAGAAAGTTCTGTGAGATGAATGCAGCCCAAGAGTGCATATTAGATGCCATTACTTTCTCTTTCCACTAATACAGGTGGTGGGAGTCTGGCAGTGCTGTGCATCCACTGGTTTGAATCAGTCACTGTCATAGTGAATTCAAATAGTCAGTGATAAGTCCATCTGAAGATTGTCTGGATCGGCTCAATAGAAGTCCAAAGCCTGAAATGATTAGATGTGATATTATAATGCAGGAAAGTACAGTTTAATATCTTCAATTACTATGTAGACAGTACATGAAGAGGGGAACTTTTTCACTGCGTATTAAAATCCTGACACTATTTTGTTGTATTTTATGTAGCTGAAGAGGAGAAAAAGACTGAAAACAGTTTTGAAAATACTTGTCATTCTGGTACACACAGAAGAGCTTCCTCCATACCATTTAAAAACACAGTCTGAAATATCATCTACCTGGTGGAATATTATAGTATTCCTTCATTTTTGTAGCAACTACATTCCTCCTGCATCATTTAGTTTTCATTTCCAATAGCCTAAAGATGACTTCCTGATCTCGTATCTACAGCTCAGGAGGAAACCTGAGAATGGCCATGAAATGTCATTGAGTTAACTGAGATTGCAGAATATTTGCAGATAATAAGAGAGAAATTTCTTTGATCTTAAGGATCAGGATTAGAAGTTTTTATTTTCCATCAACAACCTTATGCCTAAGGAGTGCTTTTGGTTTTCTTATTCTGCTCTTCCCCCCCCCCAAAAGACAGAATAAATGGCAGATAGGAATCACACCATAGTAACAGAGTTCATTCTCACTGGGTTCACCAGTCGTCCAGATCTTCAGATTCCTCTCTTCATGGTGTTTCTGCTAATCTACGTTGTCACTCTGCTGGGGAATTTTGGGATGATCATACTCATCAGGACTGACTCGCAGCTTCATACTCCAATGTATTTCTTCCTCAGCCACTTGGCTTTTGTGGACCTCTGCTACTCTTCAACCATCACACCCAAAATGCTGACAAACTTCTTATCAGAGAGAAGAACAATTACTTACCATGCCTGTGCTGCACAGCTGTGTTGTTTTCTCACATTCATGATCACAGAGTGTTTCCTTCTGGCTGGGATGGCATATGATCGCTGTGTGGCCATCTGTAACCCACTCCGCTATAGGGCGATTATGTCCCGGCGTGTCTGTATCCAGCTGGTGGCTGGCCCTTACCTATATAGTTTCTGTGTTGCCTTGTTCCACACTGTAATTACATTTTGTTTGAATTTCTGCACTTCTAATACAATCAACCATTTCTACTGTGATGACCTCCCCTTATTAGCACTCTCTTGTTCCAACACCTACACCAAAGAAATGCTGATATTTGCCTTTGCCAGCTTTAACGTGATCTCCTCCCTTCTGGTTGTGCTTGTCTCCTACCTCCTCATCTTCTCTACCATTTTGAAGATCCACTCTGCTCAGGGCAGGAAGAAGGCTTTCAGCACCTGTGCCTCCCACCTGGCAGCTGTCACCATCTTCTACGGGACCCTGATTTTCATGTATTTACAGCCCAGCTCTCACCACTCACTGGACAGAGATAAGGTGGCCTCGCTGTTCTACGCGGTGGTGATCCCCATGCTGAACCCCCTCATCTACAGCCTGCGGAACCAGGAGGTGAAGGCTGCCCTAAGGAAAGTTGTGTATAAAATATTGGTGTTTTAAGCAATGTTGCAGAAAAGGAACTGTCTCTCCCCCTCCCCGTTTTTTTTTTTTGCTTTTGACTTTTCTCATTTCTTTCATTACATCTTTTCTGAACAAAATAGACATCTATCTACCTTAGGAAGCAGGGGAG